TTTTCATCACGTGATACTAATGGAATGCAATTGAACTTTGCAATTATTGCTCAAAGGTCAACCGTGTCCTACCTCCTCTGGTGTGAGACGAATAGACATCAGTCTCTTATAGACCACACCTAAACCACACCTTCTCATAGGGTTTCTACTACGCATGGTACCACGTGGGTATGAGCATGCGCAGATTCACTTGCCGCACTGGCTAGACCACGTGTTGGACTTCTTCAGTTTTTCTTTGAGCTTCTTCTCGTTCTTTTGTTCCTTGACTTCCTATAGATGATGACTCTGACTTATAACTCCTCAGAAATTGTCTCTCTCTGGGCTGACCATATGGATAAAGTTGAAGTTAGGCTTTATGAACCTACATCAATGTCTTATTGTCAAGAATGGGGCAAGCTTAGTGATGCTTTATCTAACGGGAAAGGAGCTAATTATAGCACGATTCAAGTCGCTGAAGACGTTGATTTGACTCTAACGACTAATACAGAGACACTGGAACAAGATGACACCCCACTAAAGAAGCTGAGGCCTCAACACAAAACGGCCTCATGTTGTTATAGTAAAGGAACCACTGGAGCAGAAACGGTAAGTGTCCTTACAAGGATACTCTTGGTGTTACGACTGAGGAGTCCCTAACGAGCTTGGAGTCTTGAGTGAAGTAAGTAAAGGATTGTTTTACTTTCAAGTACTGTCGCATTAGTGTTGCAAAATTATAGTATTAAGTGTTTTTTTTTTTAAATTACTAGCTGTTTACGGTACTTTTCCATCAATGGAATTTTGAGTAGCATTGTTATTTTTAATGTATGCCGTATTGCTAAAATAAAAGCACAAAAATATTAATAATAGTAGCAATGTACTTTCCTTTCTCTCTCATTCTTAGTCTTTCTTATTAACAACAACTACATTTCTTATCTTTCTTACGAGGGATTTGTAATGAGCTTGGAGTCTTGAGTGAAGTAAGTAAAGGATTGATTTACTGATGGTCATGTACTGTACCTTTTAATATTATAGAATTTTAGTATTTTAAAATTACCAGCTATATGGTATTCATCTATGAATGGAATTTTGAGTAGAAAAGCTACGTGTAAAAACTTACCAGACTACAATTGACGGACTTCAAGACAATAATTAGAATAAAATAAATAATTTAATAACTTATAGTACCACTCTCTCTCTCCATCTTGTAGTTGATGTTTCAGAATTTGTTCAAGGGAAGGTGCTCATTGAAGTCGTTGCCATTAGTTACGAGGAGCCACGCCCACATGAAAGGGACAAGGGAGATGATGTTAGCAGGTGTTGCGTTGAAGCTAAAGTTAGTAACATACTGTGTGATATAATTATGATGTCATGAACTTTTAGATAAAAATAAAATTTTCTGTTAATAGTGTCAGTGCCTATATTGATTGCTCTTTTAGTCGAAAATTACAGGTCAATCAGGTACAAAATAATTTTTTTAACTAATTTTATATTACAGTGTATTTTTTAAAGTATTCAGGAGGTTGACTTGACCTTTGTGTGTTCCCGTGACCTTTTGACCTCTTAAACTGAAGCGACCCATAGGATTGACCACACCCTCTTGGACTTTTTTGCATTCCAACAAAACCACAGGCTAGGCAGCGTAAGGTATGTTAAACTCGTAGCATAAGTACAGTACTTGTACATCAATATGCATCAGAAATGGAAATGGGGATTTGTGAGCCATTTTTATACATTGGTCCAATTTTTGAACACCTTTTAAAAATTTTTTAAAAATTTAAACTTCATCCAAATCAGTTCAAACTTTCTACATAACATAAGTACATGCATACGTATCAGAAAAATTGTAAAAAATTAATTTTTTGTCATTTTTGACGAAATTTGCAAAATTTCTGGTACAGGATGTTGGCCTCATTTTTTAGCAACTTTTAAATTTCATATAAAATTCAAACTTGATCGGAATCAGTTCGAACTTTGTACACAACATAGAAGCATGTATTTGTATCAGGAACAATTATAAAACGAAGAATTTTCTCCTTTTCATTTTTGACAAAATCTCTGTACTAGAGTACCGAATGTTGCCCCCATTTTTAAGTAACTTAATAACCCACTGACAAAAGCTGCAGGAACATTATGCCAGAAATTTCATGGGAATCCCTGCATATTACTAATGCCATCTCTTTCAAATCAAGTATTAACTGAGAATGATGATACAACATTATATCATTAACCATCTTTCGGGACTGAATCCCTAACTGATGATTTGTATTAACTGACTCAGTTTATTACAATGTACTAACAACTAGCTATACTTGTTGCTACATGTACATGTACATGGCGGTGTGATTTTAAAGAATACACAATGCTATGCAAAAATGGCTCCAAAATCACCCCCAGTTTTTATTACATTTTCTGATACATATTGATGTCCTTATGCTATGTAGAAAGTTTGAGCTGTTTCCAACAAATAATTTTTAAGTTATGAGCATTTTTAAAAATTGGCCAATTTTTGAAAATTACCCAAGGCTATAGTATAGCCCATGCTTTTTTCCAATAAATGGCTCCGAAATCACCCCCAATTTTATTACATTTTGATGCATATTGATGTCCTTATGCTATGTACAAAGTTTGAGCTGATTCCGACAAATAATTTTTGATTTGTCAGCACTTTTGAAACGAGCCAATTTTTAAAGAAGAGCAAAGGTTTGTTCTAAAAAATGGTTCCGAAGTCATCATAATTATGTTTTTTTTTATTCTGGTGCATATTGAGTTTTGACCATTTTGAAACTGGGGCAATTTCTAAAAAGTGGTTCCAAATCACCTCTAATTTTTGTGTCTTTGAGCTTTTTGACTGATTTACAAATTCCAACCCTCAAAATGCATTCAGTGCATTGCCACAGTCTTTTCGCCAAATACAGATCACGTGAGAATTTATTTTCCCCGTGACGTCATAATGGCGGGAAAGTAATGGCTGGCCTTGTGTTGCTTTTTGTGCAATTGATATGATGCTGGATGGTTTATAGTTCTATATAACAGCCTCAAACTGAAAGCAAGGATGTGTAGAATCATTAGGTTAGTTTTTTGGTTGAAAATTTAGCTATACTTTAGCATTAATCCCTGGTGCTTGTAACTAGTCTTTTCTATCTTGCTCTATAACAATAGTGAAACAGACCAGAACAGTTCAATATTAGTGATGCAATTGGCCAATCAATAGATGATCTTGTACGCAAAGATTTGTTTTGATACTGTTGTCGCAAACGACAGGGGCATCATTATGTTAGTTTCAGCCATTGTCTCATGTCATAAATTTTACTATTTGTACTTTATCCTACAGAGTCCAGGCTCAGAATCATTAGTAAGTCATTCTACTTTAATGAAGTAGTCTGAAATATTTATAGAGCATGATTGTACACCAGTCATTGCTTCATATTTTGTGCTGAGGACTTTCAGATATCACAGCATCCTGATTTCTGGCTGGAACAACTTTAAACTTCTGAAATATGTTCTTCTGGCTCTTCTTTTGTTATTAGTAAATGGACAGCAAGTATAGATTGTTGCAAACACTACAAGCAGTGATGGAAGTTGAGGAGTTCTGCTGCTTTTAGTTTTGTTATAGTGTATCTAAATTTTTTGATATTTTTTATGATGATAGATATACATGTACTGTGTACTGTTAGCAAGTTTTATGCGTATGGTATTAAAAGTAAAAAAGATATCAAATAAATGAGAAGCTCATTAATTATTCATGTTGTGTATTGTATTGCAAATAAAATTATACAGGCGTTTATGACTTCCGGTGCAGTTGGCGTATGGACTGTGCCACTGCAGTTGGTAACTTAGTACTGATCAATGTTGTACATGTACATGTAACAAGTTCCCTAAGGTCCGGTTTATTATTAATATGTTGTAGGGTCTTGTTGGATACTTTGTCATTGGGTTTGAGGTTCCCTCTTATCCTGTGTACTACTTCAGTACTAGTCCTCAAGATACACCCACTCACTGGCATCAGAGGATATTCTTCCTCAATGAACCCATACAAGTTCAAACAGGTGGGTCTGGTTTAAGACTAATGTACTCATTACTGTTTATTGGGGCGAGCCTGAGCTCTCCCCACTAAGGCGAGAAAGTGTTTGTTTGAATGTTTGTTTGTACGGGCAGACCGTCTAACTATTATTAAAGTTAAATAGCCTAATCTTCATTGAAAGCGGGTGTGGTCACAATGATAAAATGGCAGCCATAAGCAAGCCTGACTGAGCTTATTTTGCAGGAAACGGTCAGCTAGATAAGGCTAAACTGCTGTCTGAAACTTCTCTAGCAAGAATAAAAGTTGGGAGAGTAGATATACAGTCTTTTCCTTGGTATAAAGGATTCTGCTAAGGTGAATGCAAGGGAAAAAGCTGCATGTACTGTACTGCTAGCTGCATGCATCATGAGATCTATTCTAGGTGATGTTTCTTCTCTAGGAGCAAGCCTAGGTTAACAAAGCAGATATACAATCTTCAAACATGATTTTTTCAGTGACTGCTTCTAACTATAAGCAAGATAACTTAATTTAAGCAAGATGACTACAAGATACTGAATTTAGACATGTGCAATTGCTTTGCTAGCTCAGACATGTATATCATACAGCACATAATCTATAGCTTGCTTAGGCTTGCCCCTTTAATATTTTACATTCGTCTAGTACTTATTAATTGGGTGAAGGACAAGTCAGTATATCAAATACTGTCTGTCTGTTTGTGTGTACATGTACATCACTCCTACTTATACATGTACATGTACGTTGATTATTATTATTAGGTGATCTATTATGTGGTTTCTATAAGAGCAAAGATTGTTCAAGATCACTTAATATCAAGATACAGATGATGTTATTTCCACTCTCAAAAGAATCCCAAGTACCAGAACACATGTACACTATCACCATGTTTGTTTAATTTGTCTTTGGAATTAATAACATTATTGTTAAACTCTTCGCTAATTAATATTTTTTTTTTAATATTTAAAACAAGCAATAATAACAAGGCAAATCAATTATATCAAGCATCAATGTTAATATTAAAATGAAGTCCCAGTTCATTCCTAATAGCTTCAATCCAGTCCTCACCTAAAGCTATTGCTGCATCAGTATAACTGCCTCTTACAGCAATGAATGAGCTTAAGAACTTCTGACAGTGCTCCTGCACTTGAGGTAACTTC